AATCGAATTTACACGTGCATACGTGATTGTACTGGTCCTGCGCGGCGTCACACGTTGTGCAGCTACCCTAATTAGTAAAATTCAAAATGTAATACCTTTATCTAATAAATTTAATTCTGCTTGATAAATAAGGAGAAACAAACTTAAATAAACTTTTCAAAAATTTTAACAGGGAATTTGCTTGATAGATAGTTCAAGGGATAGCATTTCATGACATCCATGATGTATACCATCAAGTGGTTACTCGTTCACTGACCAAAGTACCCTGTGTGACAATAATGCAGATCAATTTTTGCATTATTTATATTGGCATGTGATGTAAACAATTGAGTAATACGCGTGATTTTCAATTTTTCACTATGTATCCGGGACAACGGTGGTTAAGGCTAAATTCTACGTGTGGTTAATAAAAATTCGGTGCAATTCTGTGATTTCATTTCGTGATTTCTGTGATTTAATACGATTATATAATAAAAATTTATTTATTAATCATGTTATCTAATTTTCAAACCAATAAGAATTCCGTAATTTTCCGATGAGCATGCTCGTAATTTGTGTTGATTTAAATTAATTCAAATCTTTGTGACTTTTAAAATTCTGACATTTTAGAATCAAATCTTTGACATTTAAAATTCCGATATATTTAGAATCAAATCTTTGTGACATTTAAAAGTTTGATATTTTTAAAATTCTGTGATATTCTGCGGTGACCAAGAGTGATTTCTGTGGTTGGCAGTGATTAAGAGAAATTCGGTGGTTATCTGTGAATCACCGAAAACATCGTCCCTGCACTGAGTACTTTGATCAGTGCACTACGGTAAAAATAATAAAAATAAAATAAATAAATAAATAAAATAAATAAATAAAAACAGCTGAAAGAACCGGTTAGTGTGAATATTGAAAACTCTGTAAATCTGGGAAGTATTATGAATTTTTTTGGCATGGTTATCTGCTCCTTTGCACAACTTTTGAAACGGCTGTAAAATCGGGTTAGAGCGAGCCACTTAGGGTCTAAATGATTTGCATAATTTGCATCATCCGGAAGTCCTAATTTATCCCCAAGTTCTACAAGTCATAATTGGTCCATAAAAATACTATTTTTTGATCAGACAAGTATATTAAGCCATCCTTCACTTGCCAATCAAATTACAAAATCTAGTGTAATGTAAAAAATTGCGAAAAACAAACGAAAGTTCAAAATTTTGAGTAGCTCAAAGTTTTGTCTATGAAATTGCTGTCGTATACTAATAAAAAATTTTCTTGCTCCATTTTATTATTAGTGTTCACTCAACTTTAGTGCTAACTGCAATGATAAGTTTTAATATTTAAAATAAATGTCGTACTTGAAAATGTTAATAGCATCTGATCGAAAATCTGACATAGCACATTACATCTAATCAAAAAGACAGTATTTATGGTGTCCAATGTAAATTTGTGACACGAAACTATATATTAAATAGCATCACTTGTAACAAAATATATATTATATACAATATTTAATGATAAGTAAATAAGAATCATGTGATGTCAGTTGTATTTTTTTTATGAGCGATGTTAGGGCTGTTATATAAAATTCCGAAACTTAATTTTAAACTTTTAAGACTTAGAGTATATGATAATTAGATTGCATTTCAAGAATGTTTTGGCTACTTTACAGTAAATGTGCATTAGCTATTAACATTCTAATTTGGAAAGTTTGGAAAGTTTCGAGTTTCGGGTCACAAGTATAGTCCAATAGGAAGTTGTAAATTCACATAACCCGATTGGTTTTGACCATTTCTATAAACTTTGGACTGTATCTGATGCTGTTAAGAACACAATCAAGGAATTATAAACCAATTAAAATAATACTATAGCCGACGTGAACTTCTACGAAGTGAGCATAGGACGTGATCTGCTTATCCTAACTGCGAAATAAATGTCTTTAAAGCTAGCATCCATAATACATGGGCCCCTGTTTGATCATCTACTTAGTACCAATTATTATAATAGAAATTAGATTTGCAGATTAATTATTTCTAAAAGCAAAATTAATAGATTATCTGAAGCTTTTTTTTGTTGGACGAATTACATCAAATATTTTGAATTAGAATATTTAGAAGTCAAAATATGCTTCCAACTTCAGGCCCATCACTACGTATATATAGAGGTGTTATTTTATTAAACTTTCATTTTATTTACTGTTAATATCAAAAATCTCATAAAACACTAAACGGCTCATTCATAATGAAAATAACTTCAGTTCTCGCAATTTTTTTGGCACTTATTGTTATTGCTCAAACATATCCTGTAAGTTTAAATAAAAAACAGGATCCAGCACAAAGTGATAGAACGGTACCAACAGGACCAAATCCCCTTCATCATAAAAGACAGGACCCAGCACAAAGTGATAGAACGGTGCCAACAGGATCAAATCCCCTTCATAATAAAAGACAGGACCCAGCACAAAGTGATAGAAAGGTACCAACTGGATCAAATCCTCTTCATAATAAAAGACAGGACCCAGCACAAAGCGATAGAAAGGTACCAACAGGATCAAATCCCCTTCATAATAAAAGACAGGATCCAGTAGAAATTGATTGATTGGCACCAACAGGACCAAATTCCCTTCATAATAAAAGACAAGATCCAGTAAAAATTGATAGATTGGTATCAACAGAATCAAATCCCCTTCATAATAAAAGACAGGATCCAGTAAAAATTGATAGTTGGTACCAACAGGATCAAATCCCCTTCATAATAAAAGATAGGATATTTCTCTAGTAGAAATTAATTCTTGTTTAGAATATATATTTTATTTCATATTTTTTTTCTTGTTTACTGCTTTTCTCCGGGAAGTAAATTACAATAATTTTGTCATTTGATATAAGGTTTTTACAGGGATGGGTACGCATTTTTTATTTCTCAAACTTATAGCTTTTTCTTCATTCACATGTTTTTTATCTTCATATTATTACCTTTTTATTTGAAAAATTTTATTCAACAATAAATAAGTTCGATTATAATAATTCATTTTTGCGATCTTGAAAATTGAATGACCCAAAGCGACAAAGGGATTTTTATGTATTTAAAATTTTAACACGTTATTAAAATGCATTATATAATAAAAATTATGTTACTCTTTTTTATGTATT